GATGTTTTACAGATACACCTGGTACGTGATGGGATGTTTTACAGATACACCTGGTACGTGGTGGAATGTTTTAGAGATAGACCGAGTACGAGATGGGATGTTTCACAGATACACCTGGTACGAGATGGGATGTTTTACAGATACACCTGGTACGTGGTGGGATGTTTTACAGATAGACCGAGTACGAGATGGGATGTTTTACAGATACACCTGGCACGGGATGGGATGTTTTACAGATACACCTGGTACGTGATGGGATGTGTTACAGATACACCTGGTACGTGATGGGATGTTTTACAGATACACCTGGTACGTGATGGGATGTTTTACAGATACACCTGGTACGTGATGGGATGTTTTACAGATACACCTGGTACGTGATGGGATGTTTTACAGATACACCTGGTACGTGATGGGATGTTTTACTGATACACCTGGTACGAGATTGGATGTTTTACAGATACACCTGGTACGTGATGGGATGTTTTACAGATACACCTGGTACGAGATGGGATGTTTTACTGATAGACCTGGTACCTGGTGGGATATTTTACAGATAGACCGAGTACGAGATGGGATGATTTATAGATACACCTGGTACGTGATGGGATGTTTTACAGATAGACCGAGTACGAGATTGGATGTTTTACAGATACACCTGGTATGTGATGGGATGTTTTTCAGATACACCTGGTACGGGGTGGGATGTTTTACAGATAGACCGAGTACGTGATGGGATGTTTTACAGATACACCTGGTACGTGATGGGATGTTTTACAGATACACCTGGTACGAGATGGGATGTTTTACTGATAGACCTGGTACCTGGTGGGATATTTTACAGATAGACCGAGTACGAGATGGGATGATTTATAGATACACCTGGTACGTGATGGGATGTTTTACAGATAGACCGAGTACGAGATTGGATGTTTTACAGATACACCTGGTATGTGATGGGATGTTTTTCAGATACACCTGGTACGGGGTGGGATGTTTTACAGATAGACCGAGTACGAGATGGGATGATTTATAGATACACCTGGTACGTGATGGGATGTTTTACAGATAGACCGAGTACGAGATTGGATGTTTTACAGATACACCTGGTATGTGATGGGATGTTTTTCAGATACACCTGGTACGGGGTGGGATGTTTTACAGATAGACCGAGTACGTGGTGGGATGTTTTACAGATATACCTGGTACGGGATGGGATGTTTTACAGATACACCTGGTACGTGGTGGGATGTTTTACAGATAGACCGAGTACGTGATGGGATATTTTACAGATACACCTGGTACGAGATGGGATGTTTTAAAGACACACCGGATACGAGATAAGATGTTGGACAGATACACCTGGTACGGGATGGGATGTTTTACAGAAACACCTGGTACGGGATTGGATGTTTTATAGATACACCTGGTACGTGGTGGGATGTTTTACAGATACACCTGGTACTGGATGGGATGTTTTACAGATACACCTGGTACGTGGTGGGATGTTTTACAGATTCACCTGATACGGGATGGGAAGTTTTACAGATACACCTGTTACGGGATGGGATGTTTTACAGATTCACCTGTTACGGGATGGGTCGTTTTACAGATTCACCTGGTGCGGGATGGGATGTTTTTGAGATTCACCTGGTACGGGATGGGATGTTTTACAGATTCCCCTGGTACGGGATGGGATGTTTAACAGATACACCTTTTACGGGATGGGATGTTTTACAGATACACCGGGTACGAGATTGAATGTTGCACAGATACACTTGCTGGTACGGGATGGGATGTTTTACAGATTCCCCTGGTACGGGATGGGATGTTTAACAGATACACCTGTTACGGGATGGGATGTTTTACAGATACACCTGGTACGAGATTGAATGTTGCACAGATACACTTGCCGGTACGGGATTGGATGTTTTATAGATACATCGGGTACGAGATGGGGTGTTTTACAGATACACCTGGTACGGGATGGGATGTTTTACAGATACACCTGGTACGTGATGGGATGTTTTACTGATACACCTGGTACGAGATTGGATGTTTTACAGATACACCTTGTACGTGATGGGATGTTTTACAGATACACCTGGTACGAGATGGGATGTTTTACAGATAGACCTGGTATCTGGTGGGATATTTTACAGATAGACCGAGTACGAGATGGGATGTTTTACAGATACACCTGGTACGTGATGGGATGTTTTACAGATAGACCGAGTACGAGATTGGATGTTTTACAGATACACCTGGTATGTGATGGGATGTTTTACAGATACACCTGGTACGGGGTGGGATGTTTTACAGATAGACCGAGTACGTGATGGGATGTTTTACAGATACACCTGGTACGTGATGGGATATTTTACAGATAGACCGAGTACGAGATGGGATGTTTTACAGATACACCTGGTACGTGGTGGGATGTTTTACCGATACACCTGGTACGGGATGGGATGTTTTACAGATACACCTGGTACGTGGTGGGATGTTTTACAGATAGACCGAGTACGTGATGGGATATTTTACAGATACACTTGGTACGAGATGGGATGTTTTAAAGACACACCGGATACGAGATAAGATGTTGGACAGATACACCTGGTACGGGATGGGATGTTTTACAGAAACACCTGGTACGGGATTGGATGTTTTATAGATACACCTGGTACAGGATTTGATGTTTTATAGATACACCTGGTACGTGGTGGGATGTTTTACAGATACACCTGGTACGTGGATGGGATGTTTTACAGATACACCTGTTACGTGGTGGGATGTTTTACAGATTCACCTGATACGGGATGGGAAGTTTTACCGATACACCTGTTACGGGATGGGATGTTTTACAGATTCACCTGTTACGGGATGGGTCGTTTTACAGATTCACCTGGTACGGGATGGGATGTTTTTGAGATTCACCTGGTACGGGATGGGATGTTTTACAGATTCCCCTGGTACGGGATGGGATGTTTAACAGATACACCTTTTACGGGATGGGATGTTTTACAGATACACCGGGTACGAGATTGAATGTTGCACAGATACACTTGCTGGTACGGGATGGGATGTTTTACAGATTCACCTGGTACGGGATGGGATGTTTTACAGATACACCTGGTACGTGATGGGATGTTTTATAGATACACCTGGTACGAGATTGAATGTTGCACAGATACACTTGCCGGTACGGGATTGGATGTTTTATAGATACATCGGGTACGAGATGGGGTGTTTTACAGATACACCTGGTACGGAATGGGATGTTTTATAGATACACCTGGTACGAGATTGAATGTTGCACAGATACACTTGCCGGTACGGGATGGGATGTTTTACAGATACACCGGGTACGAGATGGGATGTTTTACAGATACACCTGGTACGTGATGGGATGTTTTACAGATACACCGGGTATGAGATTGAATATTGCACAGATACACCTGGTACGGGATGGGATGTTTTACATATACACCGGGTAAGAGATGGGATGTTTTACAGATACAACTGGTACGGGATGGGATGTTTTACAGATACACCGGGTACGAGATTGAATGTTGCACAGACACAGCGGGTACGGGATGGGATGTTGCACAGACACAGTGGGTACGGGATAGGATGTGGCACAGACACAGCGGGTACGAGATGGGATGTTTTACAGATACACCTGGTACGATATGGGATGTTGCAGAGACACAGCGGGTACGAGATGGGATGTTGCACAGACACAGCGGGTACGGGATGGGATGTTGCACAGACACAGCGGGTATGGGATGGGATGTTGCACATACACATCGGGTACGAGATGGGATGTTGCACAGACACATCGGGTACGAGATGGGATGTTGCACAGACACAGCGGGTACGTGATGGGATGTTGCACATACACATCGGGTACGAGATGGGATGTTGCACAGACACAGCGGGTACGAGATGGGATGTTGCACAGACACAGCGGGTACGGGATGGGATGTTGCACAGACACAGCGGGTACGGGATGGGATGTTGCACAGACACAGCGGGTACGGGATGGGATGTTGCACAGACACAGCTGGTACGAGATGGGATGTTGCACAGATACACCTGGTACGGGATGGGATGTTGCACAGATACACCTGGTACGGGTTGGGATGTTTCACAGATACACCTGGTACGATATGGGATGTTGCACAGACACAGCGGGTACGAGATGGGATGTTTCACAGATACACCTGGTACTGTATTAAATGTTTCTGCCATACTCGTGTTGCAGGATGGGTTACCTGGGGACATGTATGGTACCAAAATACAACGTTTTTCATAAATACACTCTGTGTAGTCCCCATAAAACGTGTAAGAGTGAGTGAGTGAGTTGGATTTAACGCCGCTTTTGACAGTATTCCAGTTGTATCACGGCGGTCAGCTTAATGTTGGAGGACAGTCCGATGTGATGCAGGTCTTATGCATGCATGACATCGTATCCCAATTGCGTGGATTTATGCTCATGATGTCAATCACTGGATTGTCTGGTCCAGACTCTATTATTTACAGACCGCCGTCATATAGTTGGAATATTGCTGTGTGCAGCGTTAAACAACAAACAAACAAAACACAAACTAACACACGCCAATTGTAGATTCCACATACAGGCATGGAAATATTGATGACCCTATCACAGAAACTCACCTCCATCCCGGGGGGCACGGGTGGCTCAGTCGTCTAAGGCGCCGCGATTCGCTGTGCAGAGTTGTGTCCCTTGGAAACGCAGGAAACCTATGATTGTGGGTTCGAATCCCGGTTCGCCCCGATTATGTTTCTAGGTTTGTCAGCACCATACCCGTGCTCGTGGGTTTCACCGAAGTGGTAAACTTCTGAGACCTGCATCACTTCGGGCTTTCCTCCCACATTAAGCTGACACGCCGCGATATAACTGGAATATTGTTAAAAGCGGCGTTAAACACAACTCACTCACTCACTTACTCACCTCCATCCCGTTAATGTTTCAGAACCTAACGATGGCAGTAGCTGTTCGCCGTCGCCGACAGTTTGGAATAGCTATGGTCGTCGTTGTCCTCACATTGGCAGTCGTACGATACACACGGTCACCTGGCATCACCAGCTCTACCATTCACCGGGATTTGACGAGATCTAACGTAATAGGTTCTCGCACGGGAAACATCCAAGAACAGCCAAAGAAGCCAGAGGTCAAAACAAAAGATACAGGTGCTGTTGCCCACACGAGTACAACAGCTAACCCAAAGAAACAGGTTCACCAAGACAAAGTACTTAGTGAGGAACAATATTTTGCCAAGAGCCCCAAACAAATTACCCATCTTGATTTTAATTTTACTGTTACTGGGTCACCTGGTTGCCATAGCAACCCCTATCCTTTGCTGCTTGTGCTGGTGATGACAATGCACGACCATGTGGAAGAAAGGGAGGCAATTCGTGACACGTGGGGCAGCGTTGTCAAGACCAAAAAATGGGGAGATGCGGACATTCATGAAAATACCATGATATTGTTCTTGCTGGGAAATCCAGACAACAGTTCAAAATCCGATCGCATTCGTCAGGAGAATGAAGTACACCACGATATCGTCGAAGCAGACTTTAGAGAATCCTATTATAATCTGACCTATAAAGTTTTAATGGGATATAAATGGGCAAAACAGTTCTGTCCTGCGGCAAAGTACATTCTCAAGGTGGACGAGGACACGTTTATCAATATGGCCGCACTTGTGAAAATTCTGGGAACTTTAGATTTGAAAAACACTGTCATGGGACCGTATTTTGAAACAGCAGCAGTTGAAAGAGGAGGCAAGCATCAGTTGGGCAAGGAGGGTTATCCTTTCAACTTCTATCCTCCGCATGTGAAGGGGAACTTTTACGTAATGCCGACAGAACTGGCATTCAGAGTTCTGGAAGCAGCGGAACACATGCCCTATGTCTCCATAGAGGACGCCTTCATCACGGGGATTCTAATGAAAGTCATCGGGGGCAAACATATTGGTGTTTCCCCAGCAGCCTACCTGCCACAGGGACCTTTCAACAGAATATGTGATTTTAACCAACCATTCAAATTTGCATCGCAGAAGGTGACTCCAAATATGGCTAGGGAAATTTGGAAGATTATATTAGGACAGAGAAAGTGTTGATGAACATGTGAGAGTCACACTAATGTACCTTTCTGATGCGAAGTGTCAGGCAACTAACGCATACTCATCTTCCCGAGGCAAGAGAGTTAACTGAATATCAAAGTGCAGTTTCCACCCTTGCCGAACTAGGCTGTTATCATGGAGTAACAGTTTGCTGGACTCACGAGTCTATACATAGTCCAATCAAACGTGTAGCTAAAAATGCACCAACATGGTGGCGCTGCGATCGAGCCCAGACTTCCAGCCTAGTTCGGCAAGGAGGGAAACTGGAAACTCAACTCTTTTACCTCGGGAAGATGACACATACTGTTTTAAGCAAATTGTGTGAATGGCCGGTGCTACCGGCTTACCGATTACGCAGACACCTGGTGTCATCACTGATTTTCGGTAATCTGATAAATACAACACGACGACGAGAAACTATTGCGCGCAATAGGCATGATTGAAGTTGGCCAATCACAAGATTCAGTTTCCAGACACTTTGGTAAATCTTAACTTCTGATATCTCGACTGATGGAACGATATCGTTAAACGGGGGTGGGGTGGGGAGGGGTGGGGTGGGGTGGGGAGGGGATTGTGTGGTGTGGGGTATTTGTTAAACATCAGGGTGGGTAGAGGAAGGTCTAGAAAGCCCACTACCAGGAATGATCGACACGTACTCACCGGGAATAGATTCTTGTCTGCACCAGAACTACAAGCCTGACTCAGAAATCTGAATTTTGACACTAGTGGGCACAACAGTTTGGAGTTCGACAACAGCGGCGCTTGAGATGCACCATGGTTTCTGAGCAATCGAGGTTGCGTTATGCTTTAAAAATGGTAGACATCGTGTTTGAAGGCGGCGCTGAGGGAGGTACTATCCCGTAGCAGTCCAAGAGCACGAAATGTATGATGGTGGCTTTGAGTTCCAGGATGATCCCAGAGATATCGTGTTGTAGTCGACTGCCTAAAGCAGCAAGGTTTCACAACGTTGTAATTACTAGCCAAGTTTCCAGACATGTATGTAACTGATAGAACACTTTTGGGATGTTCTGGACCAAAGGGTTCGCAACCGACCTCAGCGTCCCCAAAATTTTCAACGGCTTGGTCAGACCTTACGAGAAGAATGGCGAAGGATACCATGGGAGACAATCCGGTGTTTCATATAGATTATGTCCAGAAGGTGCTCGATGTTCACGGGCCATGACTCTACTATGAAGATGTAATTACACAAATATTTTTTTTACACAATGATTTCTGAAAATATTTGGGGGTTCCCTTAAATATTGTTCCATAAATATTGTCGGGAATCGAACCCGGGTCTTCGGCGTGACGAACGAACGCTTTAACTACTAGGCTACCCGACCGCCCCTTGAATGAATGAGAACACAGTAAACTACGGTTATAACGAACTCAAAGGGACCACTAATTTTAGTTCGTTATAACCGTAGTTTGTTATAAGCATATATACAGCATATATTCAGCAAATGGAGGTGATCAAAACACCTTTCGTTATATCCGTCAGTTCGTTAGAAGCGTGTTCGTTATAAATGTAGTATACTGTATCTGGATTTTCCGCCGAAACAAACTCATTAAGGCAAAACAGGTGTGGAAACTATATGCATGGTCACTAAAAGTCAGTGATGACAGCAGGTGTAAGTAAAAACAAATGTCACAACTTATTAATGTTAGATAACGGTACGACTAACTCGGCAACAGTTAAACGCTGGTTCTCTACTGGACTTGGAAAGTTATTGACACATCTATTTGCAAGCAACATTGCAAGCTTCATGTTTGAATTTTTACTTCGTGTAAAATCTTCTCATGAGCTCACAGCCCTACCGGGGGGCACGGGGGGCCCAGTCGTCTAAGGTCCCTTGGGCACGCCAGAAACCTATGATTGTGGGTTCGAATCCCGGTTCGCCCCGATTATGTTTCTAGGTTTGTCAGCACCATACCCGTGCTCGTGGGTTTCACCGAAGTAGTAAACGTCTAAGACCTGCATCTCTTGGGGCTTTCCTCCCACATTGAGCTGACACGCCGTGATATAACTAGAATACTGTTAAAAGCGGCGTTAAACACAACTCACTCACTCACTCACTCACAGCCCTACCGTTAAGTTTAACATCAGACCTCTACACCTGCGAGGAAGCAGGGAATTCAGACCCAGTACTGGTTGAAGTGTAAACTACTTATCATACTTAATGTCCTCGCTAAGGGATCCATTGGCTAGCAGATGTGGGTGTTTTCAGTAACCTAGAAGGTAAATGGGTGCTTGATCGACATCCAGCACGCGATGTGATGGCCTTTGTAAGTCTGCGCTACGGACTAGTCTCGGTAAACGCAGTCTCAATAATTGTGCAACAAGCTCTTTCCTCCTGTTGTTCAACAGAACCCTGGACCTAATGGTAAAAACGGCGACGCTGATGTTGTTGCTGTGTAATCTGAGTTTATGAGAGATTAAATCAGTTTGTTTGTTTTGTTGACATTAGATCAAGACTTGAAATCAGAAACTTGTAACACGAACACGAAGCACCATGCAGTCACAAGTGATTTAGCCCACAAGCAAAGAAGTACACTCAGAGTTGAAAGACCAAGAGTTGGTTTACTTAAAAAATGGTTAAATGTTTGTGAAAAATACTTTGTTTGTTATTTTACGTTTGTAGATATATAAACCCACAATTATCAACTTGGTATATCCATAGAGGGACAATATGTGGAGCAACTCCTCGCTTAGAGAGTTATCAGTATATATCCTTCAAATGATTGGTGACGTATGTTTGGGGATTGGTGGAGACTTGAATGCATGGACCAAAACAGAACAAGATTTTATAGAAGACGAAATAGCAGGGAGACTGGGTAACATACATAGAGGTTATCATGCGACAGTGTTTGGGAATTGTAAATTTTACCATCCCCAAACACACAAACGTGATAACCTCTTTATCATATAATGTCATTCTTTAATTCTGTACTTGGAAATCGCTTTCCCTCTCTCGCAAACATTACCTTAACTTTGCGAGTTTTCCTGGAATGCGCGCATTAATATTTATTACGTCACAGGGTAAGTGATGTGTCAGTCGGACAGTGACAGTAGCCAATATAGTTTCAACTGAAATCTGTTTCTTATACAGTGGCGAAGCAACATGTACGCAAAACAAAAATTGTTTTTACTTGCCTTTCGCGGCAATCCATCGGTCTGTCCGCTAGAGCAACTGCCCTTTGTCAAAGGGAAGCTACTCTAACCCTAGTCTATGCGACGTCACGGGCACGGTCAGACGTTGTTGACAGTCGGTCTGTCCTGTCACAACGTTAAGAAGTGTAGTCAGATGTACACACAGCCCCAAAAACGAAACAAGGTAACAATTCAAACATATTTCGGACAAATCCAACTATTTTAATTTGTGGAAAAGGTTTCAAGCCACAGAGGTCTACAAGCACAGATATGGCTACTGATCCCGCTTGGCTAGGCCTAGTGCCCTCGCAAAATTGTTTCGAAATTTATATCGCCAAAGTTGCAAAAACTTATAAAATGCCTTGGCTACGTCACAGTTAGACACTGATTTTCAGTATATTAGACTGTTCTTTTGATAATGATAGCAATTATCTCTGTAGTTTATCGAAATTCCCGATGGTTAATTCTGACTGCCGAATGACTAGGGCGACGCCATGTTTCTTTATAAACACTGAAAGTAGTCCCTACTTGACCTTTGATATTGGAATCTCTATCCGCATGTGACCCCAAGGGATATCGTTTTTATCCGTTGGCTTTATCCTGCCGAGAATCCTACCCATTATATGATAAATTTTGGCTATCCGTTTGCACAATATAAAAATGCTCATGCTCTTATGATAAAACTATACATTTCTTAAAAAAATATTAGAACATTGCTCTACTTTGGGTATTTCCATATTAAAAGGAAGAGTTGAAGCACATGCAGGAATTTGCGACTTAATTTTCATACTTTTTGTTGGAACCAGCCTTGTTGACTACACCATAGTTTTTTCGGTGGCTTTTTTACATTGTGTGCTGACTTTAACATCTTACTTTTATATATAGTGAGTAAGTTGAGTTAACGTCGCTTTTAACATTATTCTAGTCACGGCGTGTCAGCTTAATGTGGGAGGAAAGCCCGAAGTGATGCAGGTCTCAGACGTTTACTACTTCGGTGAAACCGACGAGCACGGGTAAGGTGCTGACAAACCTAGAAACATAATCAGGGCGAACCGGGATTCGAACCCACAGTCATAGATTTCTGGCGTGCCAACGGGACGCACAGCGAATCGCGGCGCCTTAGACGACTAGGCCACCCGTGCCCCCCCCCCCCCCCCTTTTATATATAGAGAGGCATACAATTGGTAGGTGTACATTGTAAATTATACACATCTATTGTCAATCAATTTGTGTTCTGGACAAATACATGTGCTAAAATTGTAGAATGGTATATAGTTATAACATCGTTGATAATATACTTATTTCGCTGGCACTTATCCAGCGTTTGTAAAGATTGGGAGATTTTTTGTTGCATTGGTGTTTTTTTAAAAAGCCTTTGATTTTGTAAATAGGTCATATTTTGACATATGATTTTGCCTTAACAGGGTAATATTATATTGTACAATAACTGAATGTTTGTATTTCATTGTGAAACCTGCACGTGTGATGGAGCTGTAGTTTGTACATATTGTACACAGTTTTGGGGTAATAAACGGGCTTAATTTTCATTGGTTGTTTTTCGTTCGTTATTCCTTAGTATCAGCAATTATTTCCTTAACTCTTTGCTGAAGATGGCATATAGTAATAGGAAACGGTAGCTGTGCTTCATATAGTGGGTTAGTGAGTATGGTTTTACGCCGCTTTTAGCAATATTCTAGCAACATCACAGCGGGGAAAACAAGAAATGCGCTTAACACGTGCTTCATATAAGTTTAATAAAAATAGATGTATCATGAAATTAAACAATGCATATTTCAATGCATATTCATCAAGACATCTCCCCTACTTTAAGATTGTGATTCACAATTTTCACGTGCATGTTCATGCGCTGCGATCAAGGATTGATTAGCTATCATGTGCTTATAAAGGCACTTTTGTTTAACCGTAAACACCGCCAACGCTGAAAATCAACGTCACGCGCCGTGAGTTTGCTGCAAACAAGAATGGCGTAAAACGAAGTTACCAGACTTATTGTTTCATCGAAACACAATATCATATATATCCTAGGCGACGATATCTACATCAGGGCAACAAGACGTCTACGGAATTAAAACTAAACTGCCATATTAACAGCTGGGACAGTTCCTGAGTTGAGGCCAATTAATGAAAGCGATGTATGCAACCGGTGGAGGGAGCACAACATCCGACCCCGACGTCCAGCGATACGCCCAATTTTGCTTCCACGTCATCGTTAGGCATGCCTAGCCTGTAGACAGCACCTGAGGTTCAGAAGACAAGACTGGGAGAGCATACTGTTCCCAGATGAGTCCATGTTTCATCTGGACAGCTCTGATGGTGGTGCAAGGGCCTATATGTGTCAAGGCGAACGGTTTAGCGAC